GAAAGGAACTTTCTACAATCATTGTTTTATTTTCAACTTTAAAAGAGTGAAAATATATAATTATATACTATATACTGAGCCAACTCATTGTGACTGAAGCCAAATCTTCAGAAGCTAATCATGTGGATATAGAAAGGCACATGTTGAGGTTTTAAATACAATTTTTTATTGGTGCATATTTATCTAGAATCACTAAATTTGCAATACAAACTGATAAACACTCCTCAGACCCTGCATTGGCAGCAGCCTCATGCACTGGGTATGACCTTTTGCATTTGGCCAAAGATAACAAAACAAACCACCAGCCAGCATATATTTCTTCGGTCAGCCACATGATTATACCACAGATAGAGGAGGCCAATAAAACTGTGACCAAGGAGGAGACCAAGAGAAAATGAATGAAGGGAAAAGGTCAAAAGTGCTAACTCTTAAAATCTGGAAAGCTAGCATACAATCAAGAAGCATATTTTAAAAGAAGCAAGATATTGTCTAACTAGCCATAAGTGAGAACAAAAAAATGTATACCTGCTTCAGAGTTCTTAAAAAAACCCAACATTTTTTTATTGGAAAGTACAGTCAGTAAGCATGAAATGACAAAACGGCTATAACTGTAGAAACAAGGTGACAGCTGTGACATTAAAAGACATGTACTATATAGTAATAGTTGAGTGGCTTTGAATTGCTCCACCTATGTATTTTTATTATACTGAAATATTGCCAAGTATACTTTTCAAACAGTGCAGCAAAGTAACCATGTGCTCTTTGTTCCCTGTATTACAAAGAGAACATTCAATATTTTGCATTAAAACCAAAAGTTGGACAGTATTTTTTTGTCTCACCAAAAATAAAAACAAAAAATTAGCATATAGCCCTTCCCTCACATTCTTTTTAACATGTCTCACATGGTAATTAACTAGTCAGCAGCAAATTTATGACACCAAAACATCCTAGGTAAACTTCAACTTCAAACCATTGAGTATTCAAGCATGAAAAATAAAATCATTAAATGATTTTACCTCGTGGAAGACTTACCTCAGCACATTTTTTTGGCAGTACTAGACGTCCAATCCGACCGGCATCACTAGCACTTAACATCTTTTCGAATAATGGAGTAATCACAGAGTTTGAACTTGTAATTGGTCAAGAAAAGCCTCAGTAAATCCAAATGCAAGACCAATACGTTCATTAATTAACCACAACTGATCTTCACATGGATGAAGAATCTTCTTTTTAAAGTTTAACATAGCAAGAAAAAAACATATAGAAACAAGGGCATAGTTGTGATGATGAATATAAAAGGATACTCTCCACCACCGGATATTTGTTGTAACTCTTGATCTGTTATTCTAGGCCAATATCGAGGAAGTAATTGGGACCGTGTTCGGTTATCTACTCGAGTTTTTCCATTGCGCATTTGACTTTGTACTTCAGGATCTATCACACTTGGAGGGTAAAACTGCTTCGACAGAGGATCTGCTTGAGATTGTGATTGGTTTGCAGAAAATCTAGTTGGCTCCTTCGAGCAATTTGTCGATTGAAAAACAGCAGCTAACCCAAGAGATGAAGAATCCTCTTTTATTGCAGATGAGGGTAATGAGTTTACACATGAATTTGGATGTGCATCAAGGTTAGCACCAGAAGAGCTGGTGGAACAAGGGTCTGCATTCACCGATTTCCTTGTAGAGACAGAATCACTATCTCCAACTAGGCGGCAAGAATCTTGCACTGTATCAGCATTGCCTTCTCCATGATATGCACCAAATGTAGAAGCTGCATCAATACCTACTTTGCCATTGGCATATCTTTCTCTTGCAACGTTATTAAGGTTGCCAGTGATTGGTTTCTCAGATATGTTCTCAAATTTCTTCTCATGTGCTAAAATGGAATAGCGCCCACCAGGAGCAAGTTTTTCGATGCAATTAGGTCTGTCAAATTCGTATGACAGCCTCTGTTGCAGATCTGATTGTGCACTTGTCATATTCCACATATGTGGTGCTTGACGCCACTGTCCAAAAAATGGACCACTCACAGGTTTCCAGCTTTTAGCAGGAAATTCCCTCCTCTCAGGTCCTTGTTGGGACATAAACATAGGAGAAGATGCTACCTGATTTGGTGCCTGAGGAAACATGAGCACACATTAAGTTACCAAGTCAGGGATAAGTGATTAAAAAGAATTAAAATGATCTACTTTTAAGTGTTTGTAGCTGAACTGCTGTGATAGAAATAAGCAAATGATATCATATATTTGCATAAAAGAATGTAGGTAATGAAAAATGAGGCACAGTTGTTAAGAAACCAAAAGGTCTTGGACCTGGACAATGATCTGAATCATTATCTTTGAGGAGTTTAATTTGAGATCGAAAACAAAAATAATATAGCCTTATATTTTATGATTGTACTTGTATATAGAAAAAATAATCGCAATAAACCTAGACAGACACTAATGCTTATATCCAATGATTTTCAGAGGAAAAATATAAGAAGATGAAACCAAAGACAGCATGGACATACTGCGACAAATATGCTTCAATCAGAAAAAGAAATTGAACAACCTATAACTGTCAGTGATCTAACATCAACAAATTTATATTAAAAAGGATAAGAAGGTTCAAACTAATGTTATAATGGCTATGACATGTCATGAAGATGTAGCAACAGTTATCTGCAGCCTTGGGTATTTTAGAATTATAGTCACGGGAAAATTGTAGAAAGCACCAAATTAAAAGAGCTAGATAAGCTCTGTATAATGCATGGGATTTGGAAGAGGAAGACGACTCCTCTTTGTCTGCTCACCATGACAAGAGATTTCCTGGCACATGCAACGCAATCAACTCCACCAGCATCAAGTAACACGTACGTAGAAACAGAAACGACACACCCGCAATGCACCCGCTGAAAATAAAATTGGTTGAATCAGAAGATATGTTGTATAAATTAACACAAAAACTGTTCTTCTGTTATCATCATTCCATAGTGAACCCAACCATAAACCAATCGATCAGAGAACCCGATGAAAATTTGAACTTCTAACCTTGCCGCACGTTTTACAGTTCCTCCAACCTGCATCGTCAGAGTGAAACGTTTCGCAGAAATTGCCTTGCTCGAACGAGCAGCTGAAAGCAACCAAATAGACATTAGAGAACGTCACGGAAAGCTCAATAGTTCTACGCCATGTGCCCAGAATCATCATTCAGAAGGAAAAAAAAGCCAATTTTTTCCGAACCTGCTTCAGATTGCGGACCAAAAGATCCAATTCGAAAAACGAAAGCTAAGCGATTCCAAGTTTTGGCTTAAGACTATAGTACACAAGTACCGTCCGCAACTACAAAGTATTACCAACGAGCACTTTCCACTAAAAATGAAACACAAATTTTGAGTTCGAACAACCAAAGAAGAAGAAAAACAAGCAGAAACCGCCGATTTCCGGTAAGTCCCGACACATGACGAACGGGGAACCAAACCAAATCGAAGGCCGGACGGCGGTACACAAACCATCAGATCCAATAACAGAAACACACCGACGCGAAAAGATACGAGGGGAACCATCAGGAGCGGAAAGCACGCCAGGAGATGGGGGAAAGAAGGGCATACGAGCATCGGTCGCAGAGGTCGGCGATCTCGCCTGAGCGGAGGCGCCACCCCTTTCTTCTGGTGGGCAGGGGGTCCGGCAACGGCTCCTTGCACTCGGAGTTGAAGCAGATCTTGGCTGTGACCACTGCTGCCGACGAAGAAGAAGACATGACAACTAGAAGAAAAGGAACAAGAGAAGAGATCAAATCGACCCAACCCTAGAAGAGAGGTGGGGAAGAAGCCACGATTTGGAATCACATACAGAGAGAGAAGGGGGGGGGGGGAGGGAGGAGGAGGGTTTGGGAGACGAGATCGAAGAGGAGGAAGAACAAGAGGGGGGCGTAGTAGGAAGAATAAAGAGGTCGGCGTTTCTTTAATGCGTATATATAGGGGGGTGTGTGTGGGTGTGTATGTGTTTGTGTTATGGGAGGGGGTGGGTTGGGTTGTCGTTGTGTTGTGTTGTGTGCCTTGTTGGCGTCGTCCCAATCCCCTCATCCCACTCACACTACTACTGCGACAGCCACTCTGCATGCGGTAAACCCTTCTTCGTTTCCTCTGACTTGGTCTTAGGGATGGCATGTGCTCACCTCACCAGCTCGCGGTACTATGTACATGTATGCTCGGTGGCTTCGGACAATTAAGTTGAGGTGAGAGGCGCAAAAGTCACTGGCGGGTGATGGGAACGCAGGATGCGTCTGCCTTCTTCGTTCTGCTGTTCGTGTTATGCATGCATGTGTATCCAACGGAGGACACGCTCGCTGTCGTCGTCGTCGTCGCGTTCAGCCCAACCTGTGGGGGAACAGCGCCTGCTCACGTCCTCATAGGAATCTCGGGTGCTGATAACTGTGGACGGTTGCGATCTCCTCCGAACCATAAATCGGACGGCGGATTTCGCATTCACTATTCAAATATAACTAAACAAGTAGATAAATAAGATCTAATTGATTGATTTGTATATCCTGCATGGCCCGGCAAATCACGCCGACCGCGTTACGTAACGTGTGACGCCTCCGTATTCACGCCTTCCGCACGACTCCTCGTGGGATTCGATGTCTGTATCAAACACCAAGTGTTTTTATCCTACTGGATCTCGAGTCACGACCGGGTGGGACCAGAAACGACTGTCCAATGGATTGGATCTCTAATTACTAGCATGGACTGAGATATACTAACCGATCAGCTGAGCTAGCAAGTCACTGAAAGCATGTAAAGCATGGTTTTGTGATAGAAAATTCATTTGGATTGTTATCCAATACGGTATTCCACAAGAAACTGTTGGATGAAAGAGAGAGAAAATGAACAAAATCGGGGCTAAATTACTTTTTTTGTGCATCAAGCCACATGTCTGCTGATCAAGAATCCAGCAGCATCCATCTTAATTCGATATCAGTCAAATAACTATCACAATACATGATTAGAAAACACAGATATTAGAAATCAGCAGATGCCAGGAGATGTCATTAGAATGGAAAAGGTTAATACTATTATTAGCATAAATTACAGCCTCCATAAAAAAATAAAGGGAGTGTGCCAAATCTCTCTCTCTTTTTCTTTTCCTTTTTGCACAAATATATACAGCAAAATGCTGGTAAAGAGAAAAAAGATATATTATTTCTCTTTTTTTTGTTCGCTCTTCTCTGTGCCTAAAGGTATGGAGGGGCCAACAACCAGAGAAATGGGACCAAGAGGGATCATCTGGGTGAGAAGATTGTAGCTAAGCCCTGATCCACCGTCATTTGGATGGGAGGACCATAAGCCATCATCAGATTCTGTTGTTGATCTTCACAATGGAGATCATCACCCCTAGCAATAACTTCGCCATCAGAGTCGATGATGCCACCCTTTGTGGGATGTCCTACCTGCTTACCTGGCTCTAATCGGAATGCTTTGACCTGCAAAATCCATTGGAAAGATGATTAAGCAAATGGCTCTGGATAGTTGATCTGAACATCAAGGATAAGCTTAGAACATAAACAAACTTATTTTGCAATTTGATGCTTCGATGCCAAGCCTGCTTGTACATGGAAGAGCTCTACTTACTACACAAGAACCATTTTATCAATCAAAAATCTATGAAGCAACAATGTAGCAGCAACACCTAAAACCGCATGGCAAGTACCCAAATGCCGCAATTTCTGATAATGGTCAACATAGTTTCTGCAAAATAAAAGTTGTGCCGGAATAGTCGGTATAGCAATCAACATCAGGTTCTGTTCCTGTAGCTACCGGAGCCAGAGATGGTTAGATAAGCAAGGGTCTGTTGGATATTTGTACCATCATCATGTTTTACTATTCAAAATCTTTTATACATGTATGCAAATATGGTCACAGGTTCAGTTCCATATGCATCGAAATATCTAAACATATTTTGAAGTATTAAATTTACTTGTATCGTTATAAAGAAGGTATCATTTTGTTCTCCTTTTCTTGTTCTTTCTTTTCTTTCCATGTTTGCTTTAAAGCTCTTCTTGACAAGAAATAACATTGATATCTTTGAGTTAGTGTCCCAATTATCTCTTTATAATATATCAAGCTGCAATATTCCTACCTACATCTACCTTAAATAGAAGGTGAAATCGATATCAAATCAAGCAATATCCATCTACATCAACTGGTGTAAAAAAGAAAAACAAAGGGTTGTTTAGTATTAACAGGTGTTATATGCACCAACAGCAGAGCAGACATGCGATGATATATCTTTCAAAATGAGATAGGAATGAACCGGTCAAGAACACAACCCACCTTGAGATACACGACATACGGAGACTTGCAATAACTTCCATCACTCATCTTCAGCATCAGTGACAAAAGAGCCGACTTTGGACATTCTTTGATAATGACTGCATCCAAGTAGCCATCAGAGAACTGCACAGGAATAAGGTAGCTGTCACTATGATGTGCAGATCATGCTACAAAAGTACCAATCAGGTGATTGGAATGCAAACCACAAATACTGCTGCAGTTAGCTGATCTTGTGTTAAAAGTTTGTCAAACTCAAACTGGTGCACACAAATCAAATAAAATTGGTTCATGAGACCAATATCGAAGTAATTGACTTAATGTAAGTTGTGCATTTTCCATGTATGCAAAGAGAGACCGCAAGACAGAAACAAGTACTGACAACAAAAAGTTACCTTGGCATTGGGTGCCGGCATAATATCTTCACTTGCCCATGGCACGTTGTTGATCCAAACCGAAATAAAAGGGCCATCAATAGACCTCCATTCACATCCATCCAGGGAAATTGAAGGGCCTTGGTAGCCACATGGCCTAACATTAGCTTCATCTCCTTGGTCGTCCTTGTAAAGCATAGTGTTGCTACTGCAACAGTTGGTTTGATTTATTGGTTCTCCATATGCTTCATATCCAGGTGCTGGAACAAATTGAACATGCCCGTTGTACTTTCGCAAATTAATTATGCGAAGAAGAGACTGCAAGCAACATATGGAATCGATGAGCACATTCTAACTCCCAGGACACAAATGATTCACTCTCATCAATCAAAGTCATGACAGGAAGTAGAATAAACCATGCACAACACAAGACTTTAATAAAACAGCCATAGAAGTGCCATGTTTTTTGACAGATGAATCATGAACAAATAATTAATCTTGGAATCCTACAAGCTTCTGAGATGAAGTTGTCCTGAAAAACATGACTGATATCTGCAATAAACTACAGTCAAGTGACAAGCCAGCAAAGCAGACAAGGAATGAACATAAAGGAGCTTAAGGAAATCGTCATCACGAAAATAAATGAAACAACCATGGGGTTAACTGGAGGTAGAAGATGTAAAATTGTAGGACTAAAAGAGATATAAGACGAATCCAGAGGGAAGTGGGGAAGCATGTAGAACAACTAGTTCTATATTTTACTACCCAACAAACTACTTGTAAATGTTGCAAAACCTACAGAGATGGCTGCCCATTTCCCTACCTAGCCCTCCAGTAGCTACCTAAATTGAACCCTTCAAAAGTGCAGGCACTTGGGCAGTGAGGGCAGCTTAGAAGCCAAGCAGCTGCCATGACTGACACAAAAGGTAATCATAAATATAAAAGAGTTTGACAATCTACACAGAAAGAGAGTGAAAATAATGAACTTAGCATACTAGTAATTCTTTTTAAAAGCTCAAAGAGGAGAAAAGAAATCATATTTCAAAACTCACTTGAGTATAAGATGCAATAATACCTAAATAGAAATAAGAATTAAAAACCCTGCAATCATAAATGTCTACAAAAGAAACAGAAGAAATAAGGAAAAAAAAAGACAAATCAGTTGACCATAACGAAGTAGGTGAACCAAATATTATAAAATTATTGATAAGATGGACAACTACGTAAGAGGTACCCTACACAAAATAGACATATTGACAAGTTCTATGTTAGAAAAGTATGAAGTTACAAGAGATATATATGAGAGAAACCTCAGGGTACATGCTATACATACATAAAAGTCCAAGCGAGCACTTCCCATCCACCTATACTTCTCAGATTCAATATCAATATCTGCCACCAAACCTTCAGATGCCAATGGATTACTTTTAGAGAGAGGCATACAGAACTTCACATGATATGAAAAATGAGAAGCTATCAAAAGAGCAAAATATAACAATTAAACATGAGAATGAATTGGCTTTGCAAGGTTTCTACGTACCCCAGGTAAGCATCAAGACACTGAAAAACTTAGTCTTTTCTTGGGAGATGGTAACAACATCAAGGGTGCGTCTATAACCTGTATGGTTAACATTTGCTTCTGAGAAACATATTTTTCATCTACTTAACCTAAATATAATAATCACATTCTAAAACATAAACATGTGAATGAACAAAATAAAATTATGAAGAAAAAGAGGACCTCTAATAATAGAAAATGTGGCATTGGAAACAGAGTAAACTTCACCAGCTGCATCTAGAAGTGATTTTGCCATACCATTCCCCGTACCTACAACCAAATAACAAGAATAACATAAGTAATACATGTAAACTGTGAGAACCTGCCAACAAACATGCTAAAAGAAAACTAGTCAACAAGCAATTCATCGAGTGACAAATAATGCCAATTAAGCAGCAAAATGATGAGCAAATATCACTTAGAACAAGTCAGGGGATTTGTTGACATTCAATCCTGTGGATGGTGTGCACCTTGGTCCTATTTTAATTAATGCAGTTCAGTCTCACAATCTGAACTGAGGACCTGATTTGCACCTTTTCTGTTTCTTTGAATCATAATCACCGGTCTCAGAAGATCTTCTGAAGCCCCCTAATCTTACTATTTAAACCTTCCGACTGTTCGGTGACATGGCATCTTATAAACTTAGTCACATGTAGTTCATGGTGGCCATTATTCTAGTAAATGTGAAGCACATCAAGCACAAATTTGGAACATTTGAATTAACAACAAACCATAGACCTGAATAAGTTACCAAAAGATGAGAAATTTGCATCAGTTCACCTGTCGTAAGCAAATTTGACAGTCAGGAGTTGCTATCTATCAAAGGGCCCTAATGGATTCCCCCCTCCACCAACCAAGCCACCACAACAAGAACAAAATCAGGAAAAGGATTGTTAACTTTATGCCCTCAATAAAGTGAATCTCAAATTAAATGAACAAAAAATGTCCTGATCATGGGAATCCAAGGACTCATCAAGTCTACGATAATAATTTCATAATCATCTTCTTGTCAGAATCTGCTCCATGTGACAATGTTCCAACTGATTTTAGTGTTCATCAACTTGCATAAAATTCAAATGTTGCATTATAATTTAAATGAGCAATAAGATAATAATTTGAAAATCATCTTCTTGTCGGAATCTACTCCATGTGACAAGGTTCCAACCGATTTTAGTGTTTATCAACTTGCATTAAATTCAAATGTTGCATTATAATTTAAATGAGCAATAAGATAATAATTTAAAAATCATCTTCTTGTCCGAATCTACTCCACGTGACAAGGTTCCAACTGATTTTAGTGTTATCCACTTGCATAAAATTCAAATGATAACTTGACTAAGCAATTCAACATTTCATGGTATGTCGAGGAGCATACCTGCTGGAATTACCCCAAGAGGTACCTGAATTGCAGTATCCCAGTCTTCCCTGTGCAATAAACCATTAACAACCTGCCAAACAAAGGAGAAAAGAGAAAAAGGATGAACTAATGTGATGTGTCAATGATACAAAAATAAGGAAGTAGTTAAAGCATTTAGAATCTTTAAAGAGACCATAAAGTGAGCAAAAGCATACGAGACAAACAATGAGGGATACACCACTATAGACTTTCTTTCTTTTCAAGAACTTAAACTGGAATCTAGTGATACGTACACATCAACATAGCTGATAAACAGCCCATGAAGTTCAAAAGATATCAAATCACGAGTTCACATAGGAAATGCTACTAACAACAGTAACAACAAAATCAATATAATACTTCTGTACTTTCTGATTATTAATTAAACTAGTAAAAAATTAGCAGCTATGCAGAAACAAATGAACTCAGTGAAGCAATGTGAATAGAGATTTGAGATGTAAATGGCTATGGCAATCTAATACTCTAGAACAATCAATTGTGGCCTATTATTAGCTAATAATATAGAGTATTCATGACGTTTGAAGAATTACTGTTGCATCTCAAATGTTCACCTTGTGGTCTAAAGATCAAGAATTAAGACTTAAAAAGCTACAGATGCTACAATTAGATAAGCAACTAATAACATGTCAAAAATCTTTTAATCACAAAGAAGATAGTTTGTTGCCACTTTTAACAAGTCCATGTCCCACACTTAAGATGAACACTATCACCAAACTTCTATTTTCTTTCATGTGGAGAAATTATGAGTTACTAACCTCTACAAGAACACCATCACCACTGACACACACAATTCCATCGTATTTTATAAGATCCATGGTGTTAGCAATTTCTTGAGCATGGAGCTGATACTTAGTTTCTGAAGGAATATATCAAATCAAAGAGTCAACTTGTTAGAAAAGGGAAAAGGCAAAAGGCAAATTAAGTTTGCTGCAAAAGAATAGAAATATCAAGATGATTTTACAGAGTACCAATCTCACCAACCTTTCAAGGTATAAAGGACTTCAGCATCCGCTAGAAGGGGCTTAATTTCTGTGTCAAAAATCTTTCGTGCACTTTTATTTCCACCAAATGGGTTTACAATTATCAATAACCGCTTTGGCCGACCTATATCAGAAGAGCGATGATATATTAAGTTTCTCCCCCACAGAAGATAATTAGAATTACTTTACATCAATTTAAGATTCTTGTCCGACCTCAATGACAGTCTTAGTCCAATTGCCTCGAGCACACAATATATACATATACATAGTCGGTCCATGAAACTCAAACGATTATATGAACTTTAATCTATAACCATAAAGCATGACTTTACCAAATGAAGGAGAAGAAGGAAATGTGAAACAATTCTCTAACTACAATCTAAACATGAAACCACATATCAAAAGAAAAAAAGGAATCATGCCGAAAATTAAAGCTTTCATCGGATCAAAAAAAAATCCGGAAATTAAGTTTAAACCTCAAAGATATTCCGCAGGAACAAAGGAAGAAGCTCCCAATGATCTGGAAAATGCAAATGTTTGCTCTTAGATAACACACAAACGGGGTAAGAGACGAATTAAGCTGTAGTTCTTCAAGGAACAGAAACATCTGATGGAAATATCTCGACGCAATCATTGAGACATGACTCCACCAAGATCTACGATTTCAAGAAACAGAAAGTTGCGTCCCGAAAGTTTCGCCCGAAAAATTAGGATGTTTACCAAGGGAATCGATGTAAGCCCTCATCCTCTCGCTCCACCTGGACGCCAACTCTTCGGTGGGCATCTCCAACACATGATCCCTCCTCACCCTCTTGCCGGCGCCACGCCGCCCGCCGCAAGAAGACAACCCCTTGAGCGCCCCAACGAAGGCCCGGATCGTGATCCTGCGCCCCACCACGTCCAGGCCCAGCCCCTCCGACTCCAGTGCCAGGCACCGTTCCCCGCCTTCGCCGGAGCTCCACCGCAGCGTCCCGTCGGCCGCCAGGCTAGCCTTCGCCGGCGCGCCGTCGATCCGAACCCTCTCCGTCAAGGTCGGAACCGAGGTCTCCGTCTTATCCGCCATTCCTACCAACCCTTGCGTGTGCGTTCCTACTCGAGCGGAAGGGACTTCTTATACCACTGCTAAGTATTAATGGAATGGATGGATTGCACACAACAACAATGATGACAACAACGATGAATTCCACGAGGCGATGGCGTCGCTGCTGCTTTTAAAGCTCAAAGATTCTTTAGATGATTGAAACAAAGGGAGGGGGGGAAACGCGAGGCGCCCAAAGGGCAGGCCGTTTCCCCTAATTAAATCAACATGCGGAATGGAAGGTGGAGATCGGAAGCGATAGGTTGGGGGAGACCGAAGGATCACGTGACTCGCATGTGGGCCACCACTGATGTGGATGGTATGGAAAAGGATGCATTCGATGTTATTATGGGGGAATTTCTAGAAAAAATCTGCTTTTCAAAAATATTATGATATAATATAATATTTTATTATAGCTGTAACAATTTTTCGGTATTACTAAAAAAAATTATAATCGAACTAATTCACCCTATGAGCTGATCTATAAAACATATATATTTTTTTCAGAAATTAAAAATAAGGATGTTGTTTGAAAATTCTAAAAATAAAAGAGGTTTCTCAGAAAAAGAAATTAAAAACATATATATATATATATATATTTCAGAAATTTATCCTATTATCGTCACCGTCTATTTATGGAGGGGGAGATTAATAAAGAGCGTTGTAACAGAGAAATTGGGAGGTGACGGGAAGAGGGTGACAGCACACCAACCGAACGAGGCAAGTAATGGCTTTCTTCCGACGCTGGCTCGCTTTTCCATGTACAAGAATAGTCGTTGGTGACCCGACCAATTGGTTGGACGGCGTGCATCGACGTCGATCTCCGCGCGAGAGAGGTTGAATCATCGGGGAGATTTGTCTGTGATGATGCTTCGTGTGTGGCTATTGTTAATATTCGTGAGATCTGATGCGTCCAAACAAACGGCGTGGGTGAAAGATCAAATAAATTTGATAGTTGGGGTATAAATAGAAGAGGAAGATGAGTTGGAAAATGACTTTCAAAAGAAAGTCATAATTCTTAAGCCTTTTAATTTTTGATAAAATTATAATTTTTTTATTTTTTTGACTTTTGGGATGAATTTTTATAACACTCCTTTTATATTGGTCTATAAGGTGGATCGATGTATGAGGTAAATTAGTCTAATTATAATTTTTTTTTATAAGTTTATAATGTGTTTGGAGGTCCCAAAAACATTGTAGTTGACTTTTTTTCTAATAAGAATATGACATTCCAATAAGGGTGATAAGTTTGTATTATATGGTAAGTCATTCCCAGTTAGTATAGGATTTAGTGTTTTTATATTTATATATATATATGATAATAACATTATAATTATATTTAAAATAATATAATTAGATTAATTCACCTTATAGGTCATTTCTTTTTATGGATCGATTCAATGTAAATGATGTGTGTATCGTAATCTAAATTTATTTTGCATAAGTCACGAAACATTTTTGCATATGCCTTTTTTTTTTATAAAAATTTGATTGTTATTGATAAGGTATATTTTGGGTCCAGGTCACGTCATGGTTAACACCATGCCACACTACAACCAAGTCAGCAAGAGGAGCACCCCCACGGGCCGAGCCAAAATCCATACCAAGGCGTGCTCAGTACGTCCCTTCCCGGAAGCTTAGGACGGCGTCGCATGACGTCTTTTCGCGTGTCCCGGGACGACAGTCGCACAAAGGTATCTTCTTACCTCTCGAGGATCGATCACTATGCCAAACCCGCGTACAACCGACCCTCGTACAGTAGTATAAAAGTCCCTGACCGGCATCCGACCCAGGAAGAGGTAAAAAATAAATCAACCCACCACCGACTTGCCCGTCGGAGGGGTCAAAGTCAGCAATCACCCGACGAGAGCTATCCTTGCAGGAAAGCGGCCACCCTTGAGCCACGAGGATTCCAACCTTGGAGTCGTCAACAAGCGTCCTTACGATGAGCCGCTAACCGATGTCCGGAACGAGAGATGTCGATCCACATCTCGACGCCGACACCTCGTCGCAAGGGTTCGATCGACCTCGACGACCCGTTCAACCGACCAAAGACTCCTGATATCGACCCGTGGACCAAGCAAATACACAAGTAAACTATTATTGTTACTTTATCAAAGTGTAAACCGATTATCTCGTAACTAGAGACATTAAAGTCGACACTTCATAAGAAAAAAAAATTACAAAGATAAATTTCATGAGCTTATGTGCAATCATTATAGAGAGACAAAAATATCCAACCTCTAACCTACAATTTGTAAGGATCTTCTACAGTTGACAGACAACTTTAGAACCCTAAATGACACAAGATTAGATGACATGGTAGAAGTTGGCTGTAAGCACTTAGTGTGTGAGAATTTATATATGACATCACGTTTCAACATTTTATCGTATTATCTTTCAAGTGTGTAAAATCTATATTTGCAATTAATATTAGCTACCTATAAATTGTTTACCATAATATTATGCTTGGATCGATTGATTTTGCTTTAGTGTTTTGGTACGTCTTTCCCACGACTAAATGGTATAAATGTTAGTGATGAACACGTTGTATTCCCATATAATTGACTACGTAATCTCACACATAATTGTTTTCCCATAACAATTAGCCTAATTAGCACACAAACATTAAGATCCTTTCCCGTGTACTAAAAAGATTTATGCACTGTGAAAAAAGAAGAAAAAGATTCATCTTCACGGATTAATTATTATTGAGTCGTGAGAAGACACAAAGTCCCCACAAGATCGATCATTAAATATAGCTTCTGGGAGAGTACCTGAGTCGTCTTCCTGTGTCCCAGTCAATCCAGGGCGGACACTTCATTGATTCTGTACTGTCTCGCCCTTATGGCTGACGGCCGCACTCCACACTAACTACACCCTTCCTCACTGTCCTAACCATCAGTCCAAAGATACTCATGGCTAAAGGGGAGACAATTTGGTTCATCGTCATCGGTATTTCTTTCCTGAAGCGAAAGCAACGAATCTTGGTAGCAGTGTCTTTGATAGCGGAAGAAATGACAGATTTTGGTTGTTGGCGGAGTAAATTGATTCGGATGCAATCTATTTTTTTTAAGTCAACATCAACTCAAACCTCATCGATCCACAAAATTACTTGAGGGCATTCCCAACAATACTCTTCAGATGCTTAAATTGGAGAGCTGATGAAGCAAGCTATTGGAGCATACATGTCTAACTTCTTTTATAGTATGTTCTCAAAGTCGCTATCTCTAGATGGCATGTCATTCATGAGAATACGGTGCATTGATCTTAAGCGTAATTATCGTTGGTTCATGCTGAATTCAGGATAGCTTAATGTTTAAACATATGGCATAGATCAGACGATGAGAGATGATCAATTGATGGGAAAGGGTAGAGTCTCAGAGTATTGGCATGCCTACCACGTGAGTCCACCTTGTGTTGATGTGTCAACCACTCGATGCAAGCTGTCGACCTCATGATGCCTTGTGGCATCGAGGAGTCGGCCAATGGCCATTAAGGTGTCAATGTTTCGACCGTATGGCATCGACATGTTGACCACTTATTGTCGACGTATCGGTCACATGGAGCTGATGTGTCAATCACATAAGATTTTAGTATCGACCACTTGGTGCAAATATATAATTCATAGACATGACCTAGTGCAATTGCGCTCGATGGGTCGAGAAGGCTATACACAATGCCACTCGGTAGACCGACACAATTGCAAATAGTGGCAAAGGCAAGCCGATACAGTCGTGCACGGTGGTGGAGGTAGGTTGATACGATCCCACGCGATGGCGCTCAGCGGGCTGACATGGCGGTGCACAGTGATAGTGGTAGGCTAACAAGGTCACGCGTGGTGGGTTCACATAGCCCATGCGATGACAAAGGCAAGTCGACACAGCCATAGTACAGTGATGCTCGATGGGCCGATGGTCGTGTGCGATGGCAGAGGCACATGCCGCAAGTGCTCCCCCTTTTGGTAGTTGTGCAAATTAAAAAATGATAGACACATAAGCATGCATAGTATCTACTTATGATTGGCTAACATGCCACGATCTAAGGCCTCCACATGGTGATTGTGTAGATCGTGGTAGATTTGATGAGATCATAATGATGATCCAAATGACTCTTGGGTCACCCGAATCCTGCCACGTGTCTCTTCGCGACTCTAATCATGTCATGTCACCTCCTTCTTTCGAGGCGCTCGAGAGCTGACCGAGCGATCGAGCAAAGGAAGCATTACACTTAGCCTCTATAAATAATAGACCAGTCAACCTTTGCTCCCCACAATTGCCTACGATTTAAAGCTCCTCGGATGAACTACTTGGCTACCGCCCTCTTAATTCAAAAGGTCTACAATGTCGTCCCCTTCATCTTTCTCCGATAGTTTTATCAACTCAAATAAGTCGTCATTCTCATCACCACCTTAGGTGTTAGTAGTGAAAGTTTCATCCTCGAGAGAAGTAAGTCAATCACTCTAATGGAGGCTTCTCCATCGGAGGCAAATCCATCAAATGGTAGGGCTGTATCACCTATAGTGAATTGATCCATTCAACGTGTAGGGAAGTAATTCAAAGGGTCGACATGTAATATCATTGGATGCTTAAATAGAAGAAGTTTAATATGAGATTTAGATAGTTTAAATTATTTACCTTAGCTAGCACGTTTTTATATGGGATTTTGGTGACCATCAAAGATTAAGTTGGGAGATTAGAACTTCAAGAGATCATCCCGTGTTACTCGAACGTAAGGATTCATCATTCCAATCATATGGATCGCTTGCTTGACTCAACACAGAGAATCCGAATATATGTGAAATTAACAGTTACATAATAAGCATATATCTATGTGTCAAATTCTTCGAATCAGTGAAACATTGCTTTCACCAATGATAAGTCGTCGAATTTAGTATACAAAACTAGATTATGAAAAATAATATCAGATGAAATCTAACATTAAATACGATAGGACATCAAACTCCATTTATCATCCAAAGAAAAAGAAGAAGCTATCCGGAAGAAATCGAGAATATTAGACTTCGATGATGATGATGGCATATGCATCAAGCCACCACCGTTGACGCAACCATCAAGAAACTTAATGAGCCTGACATTAATTATGTACCAAAAATGTCATTTTCTTCTCATCGTAAGGAGAATGCAGAGCCTTATAGGGCCAAAAAGATGCTAATAACACTTATCACCCTTTGTCTAATCCAAGAACACATGTGCCTTGACATTGGAAAACCAGGAGTTCGACGAGAGTGATTCCACCGTCACTACTCTTCTCCATCCGAAAGCTCCCATTTGCAATCAATGCTCTCTCTCTCTCTCTCTCTCTCCCCCACAAAGTCCCCATTTGCATTGAATGCTCTCTCTCTCTCCCACAAGTCCGGACACGGAGAAGACCAGGAGAAATATACAGCTTATATCTTCCACGTATCGAATCTATCCAAAACACACGCACATATATGTCATACGTATATCAAACGTATCGTGGAGTTTGCGTCCGGGGAAGGAAAAGGTTTAAGTATAAAAATCATCCTTATATTTTTATTATATAAAAAATTTAATATTAAAATTTAAAATTAAAGAATAATATATCAAATTTACTATATATATCTTTTATTGTCATTCAAAAATTTTTTATCTGATTTACGGACGTATGATCCGAAAGTTATAATGATCTCGATTTGTAATAAAAATTATACTTATTTTTTTGTCTCTTTGTATTCTTTATAAAATCACTATAACGATAGATTATGTGTAAATGAGAGATAAGAGAAGATCCATAATATTTTGATGACTGATTTATATGATTAAAAGGAGATAAAAAAATTATAGTCTCTCCATAATATTATGTATCCATGTATTATGTTTTTAATCTTTATGAGATCGCAAACGAGAAGAAAGAATCTATAATAAGTAATTAGGAGATTAGTTTTTAAGAAATATTAACATAATTAATTTTTTTATTAATCGATAATTATAATCAAAATTTAATCATATATTTTATTTAATTAAATATGACAAATAATCTAACAAAAGAAAGTTAAAGGTGAAGAAATCTTTACGTGTGTCGTTTATGGCCATTACGTAGTCCAATATCTTACAGAACACGAAGAACTCGAGCTTTTACCAAAAAAAAAGGTTAAATCATGCGATTTCCTATTAGAAGATTTAAGGATTAAGCAATAAATTGACGGATGGAAAGGTAAAGTTGACTAAACATGCGAGAAGACATTCTTAATAGATATCCATAAGATTATGAACGAATTGAGGAGCACGTACAACGTGGAAGGCATAAAGTCAAGTTTCATCGTTAATTTGACTTGGTCTAATTGATTCAATCTGATTGGTCTTCCGAGTACGATCACATCTAAAAGAAAAAAAAGCCGCTAAGTGTTCATGATTTGATTGATAGAGATTTTTCTGAAAGGTAAAGAATATCAGCATCGCACGTCTCTTTTATCTCACTTTAGTTCAAAAGTGAAAGATTTCTATGTTTCATATCTCACTTTGTACAAAAGATTATTCTAAAGATTTGTTTAGTTAAGTTAGTGTATGTCTGTAAACTTCTAAAGCTCATAAATGTTTGTTTAGCTTGTTTTGAATCCTCATATATGAGATTGCTTTATATAATGTTTGTTATTGTAATTGTTGGTTTCATGAGAAAATATTCCTTCTAGATGACTAGGAAACTATTTTTCATCTTCCAGCACTAAAAATGGAGTTCCATAAATTTTCTTCACGGTAGATAGAGAAATAAATTGTTAAGAAAATATGCACAATTTGGATGAAGATTAAAGATAAACAATAGATAATCTCATATTAATAAGATTTAGAAAAGTCTAATGATATATATTTGGGCTTCGGTAGGGGTTAATGGTGACTAATTTGATTTGACTCATCATGGAATTAGAAAGAGTCGTTGATGTCGTCCAATATATATATATATATATATATGACTTAGTGAGCTTAAAAAAAGCTAAATAAATTTATAAGCATTTAGAATTAGTTATTAAAATTAAATAAGTTAATAAATCCCGTAGAAAATGTCAATAAGTTGTTTTGAAAGAGTTTGTAATGCTTGGATTTAATGTCAAACTTTATTGTCTACTACTGTAAGTTTGGATTTATGCATCATGAATAAGTTGACTAAATTAAGAAGTCAATTATCCTAATGACCATCACATGTGATGGATGATCTTCGATTCTGATCCATCAAGCAGGTTATAGGCTGAACATGAAATCATTTGAGGCTTCACATGTTGGCAATGGCTACTACATGCATTGACACAGATAGCGATCGCTTACAGAGCAGCAATAGTCTCCTTCCATCCAAACGGGATAGGGTGGCTTTGTCACTTTCCGAAGAGAACAAGACACTTTACTGTCTTTTCCTTCGGCGTATATATCCATGTCCAGCTTCAATCTCTCTCCTCGAAACTGCCTTCCTATGTTTTCTTCTACCTCTCTCTGTCTGCATGTGGACGCCCCTCTGCCACTTTGTTCTCCTCCAGTCTACCATACCTTGAAGGAGAAGTATGCAGGAAAATGTGATGCCGCAGACGTAAAAGCATAGCGCAACCGGACAAAGGGCTCACATGGAGGCCGTGACACCATTGCAGCACCTCTCTCTTTCTCTCTCTCGCGTGCATCTTGTTTTAGAGGTCCAGTGAGAGTTCTTGCTACGTTCCAAGGATACATTAGATGAGGCTCCTTGACTTTTCTGACGTCGGTTGAGATGCAAAGTTAGCTTCCAAGCCTTGGTTGCCTACCTTTGATTCCCTCTCCGTCCTCTGCAAGGGCAAAGCACCCCACAACTTCCCCTGCATTGCCATGTTGTCATGTCACTTTATATCTAGATTTCCACTAGTTAGAAGGAATCTATATTAAGACCTAAACTAGTATGCTAGACGACCAATATCCACTTGGCCTCAACCTGGACCCAAGTAAATGCCACTCACCACTCTTGGAGATGGGAACAAATGCATGGACGCAGATCGTTTCTTCTTCTTCTTCTTCTTCTTCTTCTTCTTCTTCTTCTTCTTCTTGTACAGAGGGAGATCAAAAGCCAGTTGCATGAGGATGATTCCGAGTCTATGAAATCAGAGATGGAAGAAGAAGAAGAGGAGGAGAAAGCCGGTTGCAGTCTTCGGCAACTTGAAGGGATTAGCATCCGCCGAGCGACGGAGGTCATCGGTTCGCTGATCTCCTCCTCCTACTGCAGCCGATCCTTCCCTGCGAAATGGCAACTGATCCGGGACAAGCTGGAACAGATCCGCTCTGCATTAGCCGCTGCAGCAGATGGCGGTGACTCTGCAGCGAACACAGAGCTCGTCGGACTGTTGCAAGCTATAACATCGACCGCAAATGAGACGCGGTTGTTGGCCAACAAGTGTAGCGATGAGTCTTACGGCGGCGGGAGGCTCCGCCTGAGGAGTGATCTTGATGTGGTAGCCTGCAGGCTCCACCTCCATTCGAAGCGCCTGGAAGAGATCTACGCATCTGGGGTTCTGACCCTTTCTCGAGCCATAGTCGTGTCGAGGCCCGGCGTCGGAGCGAGCCGGGAGGACATGCGGTTCTACGTAAAGGATCTCATCTCCAGGCTAAAGATCGGCAATTTGGAGATGAGAGTTGGAGCTTTGAAGGCCCTCAACCAAGTCCTGCGCGAGGACGAGAAGTACGTGAGGATTCTGGTGGTAGAAGTAGCGGAAGGTGTTGCTCTGCTAGCGAGCTTTCTTGAATCCGGGATCGAGGGTGTTGCAGAGGAAGCAGCGGAGGCGATCTCGGCCATCGCAGGTTTTGATTCACACAGAGCAGCTCTTGCCACGGCTGGTGCCGTCGCGCCATTGATTCGATTACTGGAGATTGGAACTGAATCGGCGAAGGAGAGAGCAGCCGGAGCTCTGAAGAGAATGACAGAGAACTCGGACAATGCATGGTCGGTTTCAGCTCAAGGAGGCGTCTCTGCGCTCCTCAAGATATGTGGCGATTCCGGCAGCAGCGGAGAGCTTATTCGGTCAGCTTGTGGCGTACTGAAGAGCCTCGGCGGCGTGGAAGAGATCAGGAGGTTCATGGTGGAAGAAGGGGCGGTCTCCATCTTCGTGAAGCTCTCGAGATCGAAAGAAGAAACTTCGCAAGTCCAAGCCATAGAATTCTTGACCGCAATGGCCTACGAAGACGACGCCATCAAGGAGAAGGCGATGAAAGAAGGCGTGCTCGGCTCACTGGTGGAGCTCCTCGATCCCAATTCCCCCTGTTCATCGAAGGCCAAAGAGGTCGCGCTCAGGGCTATCGAGGCCTTCTGCTTCTCATCTCCGAGCACCATGAACGTCTTGATGAGCTCGGGGTTCCTCGACCGCGTTCTTTCCTTGCTAAGGAGCGGCGAGATGTCTCTTCAGGAGCCTGCGCTGAAGGCCGTGGCTCGCCTCTCCGCGCTATCCCAGGCGATCAAGAAGGCGATGGGGGATGCCGGCTTCATCCCGGAGCTCGTGAAACTACTGGAGAACAGGTCGTTTCAGGTGCGGGAGATGGCCGCTGAGGCACTCTCGGGGATGATATCGATCCAAACAAACCGTAGGCGATTCATCAAACAGGACGACAACGTGAACCGGATGCTGCAGCTGCTCCACCCCGGAGAGAAGTCGATGACCAAGACGCATGTGCTCTCTGCTCTGGTGTGCTTGGCCGATAGCGGCGGCGTCCGGAGAAAGATTGCGGCTTCTGGGTGCGTGAAACACTTGGAGGAACTTGCAGAGAGTGATGTAAGAGACGCTAAAAGAATCATCAAAAGGCTGTCTACCAGCAGATTTCGGAGCATGTTGTCCGGCATGTGGAGCTGATGAGCTCAACCATTAGAGCTGCCGTCTTTGTTCTCTCCATTCCCAAATTAAGTGCAAGGAGATGTACCAGCAACATTCTTCATGTAAATACGATGTAGCGGTGGCATGATCCTTGCCGGAATCACTGTTCCAGAGTAGGTCGTCGGATAAGACTTGCTGTGTGACACATTGAAATGTCTGCGTGGTACAAAGACCAACATGAGCAGTTCATGCACGCTTCCATTGACCCAAGACAACTAGACAATCGTGCCTCTGTTGTTTCCCTCGTCATTTAGGATTACTTCGGAGTAATATGTCGACGAATGGGTCGTACATTCTCTGCAGTGTTTGGTTGCTTTGCTCTGCGAGAAAGATCGGTCGGATCATCCGATTAGGTTACGTTCAACATGCGCAGGCACAAACTGTGGATTCCATGGCTCCATGTCTCCAGTTGTGGAAGCAGGAAGAAGGATGCCGAGATCTGAAACGTCGTGCCGAGTAAAAGTTATTGGACGCAGCGTTTCTTTCACCCTATTCCAAGCACCAAACTCTTCGTCCAGTGTCGTGTCTCAGCTTTGTGTGGCATGTGCTTTCTGAGGTCAAAGGCTGGATGATCTGTGACATTGATCTTTACCTTAGCTTCACTTTAACTCTGCAAAGCTTTAGTTCCATGACTTGAGGACTCACATCAGCTCCAAGTGAAGTGAAACAAGTGATCATACAGCATCTGCTGCATCCTTCTGGATGTGAGTCAGCATCCTGTCCAATATGGAATGATGAAGTGACATGAAACAAGTACTACCTAAAGCCCCTTTTTCCCTTTAAATTGTATTTTTTTTCTGCTTTGACCACAATATTTTTAGTCAAATTGGAGGGTTGAAGAAGGAAGAGGACATGTCTGGAATGGTGGATGATATGAGCGAATGATAGAGGAATCCATATATGCTTTCAATGGTTGGTTGACTCAAGTCAGATTCCTCTTTATTTGTCATAAATTTTCAGCAATATAAATATATATATAATCTGAAATATTTATATATTTTAAATATTGGTCTGATAATTATATATTACTCACTTAAAATTAATGTAAATTCGGTGGATATTGTTTCCTCAGTTGTTTAGTCATATGTATACATTATTAGAGTGCACCAAAGACCAAAGTGGCTTTTCTTTTGGTTCTTTGTCATGTTGACTTTCTTGGACGAGAACAAAGTGGAGAGTGAGACGTTTCCTTTTCCCTGCATCTGACTCTGCCTCTCTATTGTGTGTTTCCCAGCTTCTTCCTTCTTCTATGATGTGTTCACTACTGTTATCATCCAAAAGATCTGAGTCAAAGTCTTCGCCTACTCAATCATAGAGCATGAAAACGATGCGTCCCTTTGTATTTCCTGCGCACCATTGTTTCTCTAACCTCAATTTCCCCTTTCACATGATTCTCTGTGGAAACGTTCGATTGATGAATGTATGATCATAAGGAGTAGGGTTGACCGTGTAATGGAAAATTGACTGGATTGGATTAGGGATGCTGCTGCGCCCACCAAGCTTTTGGCGTCATGTAATGCTATCTATATCGTGGATTTGGTTCGTTTATCTTGTTCCCTTTTCCTGGCAAAAGGACAGGGAGGACGTGTGGTGGTGGCCGCCATGAGATTGCATTGGTGACACACTACAGATTCATCACTGTAGTGGTCTTTGACTACTTGCCGAACGCTATGAGACTTCGCTGGTGATAGCGTGAGAGTCAGCTTTGACAACTCGCTGCACGTTGTCCATTCCTCACTCTGTAGACATTAATGTATATTTTAAGCTCCCGACGCAGTACCGGGGTTGTTGGTTACGCTCTCTCTCTCTCTGTTCCGGCAGCTGCTGCTGCTTCTGCAATTAACGAGGAGAAGCTTCCCACAGGAATGGCTATTACTGGTTTTGTGTCAGGTAGAAGCAGCACCCAAAAGGCTTATCCCGGGAAGACGACTCCCTTCGTGATCCTTACGTGCCTTGTAGCAGCCACCAGCGGTCTAATCTTTGGTTATGATTTAGGCATCTCAGGTAACCCTTTCTCCATCCCTGTCTCATCAACTGGGTAACTACAAACTAGTGTTCATGGAAGCAATTTCTTTTTGTCTGTCTGAATCACTGTAATTGCACGAGTAATTCTTTCGTTTGAAAGCTTCTAAATCTCCTTTTGGTTTCCCTCTTCATATAAGATTGATATAAATGATCAAAAAATGTCTTTCTATGTGCGAATCCTTCTCTGCTCAGGTGGAGTCACCTCCATGGAGCCGTTCCTATCAAAGTTCTTCCCTTCGGTACACAGAAAGATGATGATGGCGGCAGAGAGGAGTTCCAACCAGTACTGCAAGTTCGACAGCCAACTCCTCACCACATTCACCTCCTCACTCTACTTAGCGACTCTCGTCACCTCCTTGTTGGCATCGACCGTGACGAGGGCACTCGGAAGGAAGAACTCCATGCTCATTGGGGGTGTCATCTTCCTCGCTGGATCTGTCATGAACGGTGCCGCCGAGAACGTCGCGATGCTCATCGTCGGCCGAATCCTTCTCGGTGTCGGTGTTGGGTTCGCCTGTCAGGTAAACTCATTTCTCTCTGCCATCATCCACAGCTCTGATGATGATCATCTCAACGTATCTACGATTCGATTACAGTCAACTCCTCTTTACCTTTCGGAAATGGCTCCGCCTCATCTCCGCGGCATGCTTAACATGGGATTCCAACTAATGATAACCTTCGGCATCTTCTCTGCCAATCTCATCAACTACGGCACCTCCAAGATCATAGGTGACTGGAGCTGGCGCATCAGCTTATCACTTGCCGCAGTCCCTGCCACGATCATCACAGTAGGCTCTGTTTTCCTCCCCGACTCCCCCAACTCGCTTGTGGCTCGCGGTCACACCGAGAAGGCGAGAACGACGCTTCAAAGGATCCGCGGCATCCAAGACGTGGACGAGGAATTCAATGACATGGTTGCAGCAAGCGACGAATCGAAGAGGGTTCGACATGGTTGGTCGAACATGGGAAAGAGAAAGCACAGGCCACAGCTTGTGATGGCTGTGCTGTTGCCTTCGTTTCAGCAGCTGACGGGTATCAATGTCATCATGTTCTACGCTCCGGTGCTCTTCAAGACCATTGGGTTCGGCAGCAATGGGTCGCTGATGTCCGCAGTCATCGTAGGTCTGGTGAACATGTTTGCCACATTGGTTTCCATCTCTACTGTGGACAAGATAGGGAGGAGATTGCTCTACTTGGAGGGCGGACCTCAAATGTTTGTTTGCCAGGTAAAATATCCACAAAATACTTGTCCTATGTATCCATTCCAAATCATGATTCCAGAACCGATAGAGATCAGAGAACATTAGCTCTGACTAGTTCAAGTGCCTCCTTTGACTACAGATCATTGTCGGAACGCTGATAGCGGTGAACTTTGGGAGCACCGGCGAAGCCAGCATGTCGAAGCTGTATGCTTGGATCGTGGTGGCCTTCATCTGCATCTACGTCGCAGGGTTTGCATGGTCGTGGGGGCCGCTGACCATCCTGCTACCCAGTGAGATCTTCCCACTGGAGATCCGAACGGCCGCCCAAAGCTTGGCCATATCAGTCAACATGTTCTTCACCTTCTCCATCGCCCAGGCCTTCCTCCCCTTGCTCTGCCACCTCAAGTTTGGGCTCTTCTACTTCTTCGGAGGCTGGGTGGTGATCATGACCACCTTTATCTACTTCTTTCTGCCCGAGACCAAGAACATCCCCATCGAGAAGATGGTTCTTGTTTGGAGAGATCATTGGTTCTGGGGCAGATTCATCGATGATGACGGCCATGCTCATGGAGGCCAGGAGCCGGTGGATGCAGTGGAGAACAACAGAAAGGTAGTCTCTGCTATCTGAGACACCAAAAAAGAATGTATTTTGTCATGTTTTAAGCCAAGTTTACATTTGATATCCAATGTTCGTCACGGTATATTTTTCTTTGGCTTTTGGAGACTGCATCACAAAGCTTTCAGCTTCTCTGTTCAACACTCGCGGCTACTTCTGGCTCAACATTGATCGCAGTGAAGATGACAATCTTTAGTAGAACACTCGAATATATATTATTCTTGGAATCCTCGAGAGGGACTCTTTAACACCCAACAGAAAAGGAACAGAGAAGAAAGAAAATTTGTCGTCCAATCATGTCACACACAAGTTTACTACTTCTTCAACAGAAACGAAGAAGAACATCCAATATCGCTGCGGAGAAGGAAGCCTTCCTTCAAGCGATCCCGTTGATGCACAGCCATTGGCCCACAAAGAGTATATCGCAGTCAAGATTAGGATTGATGGCACTGAACTCGAAAGCTGTCAGGTGGAACAGCTGAGCGACTGCGAAGCACGTGTCGCCGCTCTTCACCCCGTAAACAGTCTTGCAGCTCGGAAGCGATGTTTTCCCCGCCACCAGAGCTTGTAAGAAAAGATCACAAAAGAATGGTTATTGCTCGATCACAAGGTGCGTGACCAATACAAAACGAGTGTTTGGTCAGAGCAGTAGCTTCGAGACTTACTCAGCCTCCCCTCGGTCGAGGAGATGGTGAGGAGGAGCGCTAAGAGGACGGCCAAGGAATAGAACGTAGCAGCTTTGCTGGTTGCCATGGCCACAATCTCTCTCTCTCTCTCTGCTATGTCGATTGACTGCCAATGTACCCTCCTATTTATACATGTTAACTAGTTTGGGTCGATGTTTCCGATCTATGAAGCAACAAAGGAAGCCCTCGGTATGTCACGCATAGAGTTTGGCTTCTTGTTCTTGAGACGGGCTAACCCAAGTTATGATGCTCCTTGTGACGGCATATGCTATTTTAATATTTGACAGCAGTTGATCCCCTATATGGATGCTTTAATATTGGTCACAGTTATAAATGTCAAACTAAGTTTAATCAATGGTTCCAAGGGAAAATATGGGACAATTGTGTATCATGTTTTGCCCAAATGCTGAGATGTTTAAACATTTCCTCGTCTATAAAGCTACTCAAATTGTACCCCAGCTAAGAATTAAGAATCAGATACAAAACATAGGCAGAATCAGATGATGTTTTTGATGCAATCCAAGTGGTTTATTTCATCAGAAAAATCTCATATCTACAAACAGAGCATAATTTTATTTAAGTATTACAATTACCAAAGGTTGCTGACCAAGTAAGGAGGCTGGAAAGTCTTTAGACTGGACAAACATAGATATTTTCTCAGCAATATATGATTCATTCATTCGATTGTCATGAAAGAAACCTCATCGCAGTTCATACGGAGTCAACGAATTCGACCTGATGCTGAGCCAGATATCTTTCTCTCCGTTCTTTCTGGAAAACAAGAAGAATGGGTAAGAATGATCACCAACAGATAAATTCAGGATGAATTGATCAAATTCTATTAGTTTGGGGCGGCTATTACCCACTCATCTATGACTAGCCCTTCACCGAGTATCCTCGGCCCAGTTTCTTCGGGAGGTTTCTTGTGTGCCTCAACTGCTGCATCAGCCTCGGCTAGTTGGCGCTTCAATTTATCCAATCGCTTTCAAAAGACATCGACATATAAGCCAACTTTTCAGGCCTATTTCATTGATAAGATGGTTTTTCTAGGCCACGTAACAAATCAAATACTTAATTTGAAGTAATGACTCACCGGAGAAGGACGCTCGACATTCAAGAATACTACGCTCAAAATTTGCTCCACAGCAACCTGGTCTTTCTGCTCATCAAACTGCTTAGACATGATATGACCGTCAGTTGGAATATCATTCCTTGTTTTATTCAAGGGAAGGAAAAGCTTAAGAAAGACATGGCAAGAAAACAAGAAACGTAAGGCATTATTAAGGTCACTGGTAATCACAGATAGAGTTTATCTCAGAAATTCTGCTATCCAGTCTCACAGTCATAACTATGTCAACCATCTAAAAACTCAAAATGCTTATCCTAGACATTGCCTTCATTTTAGAGGTAAATTTGTAAATCAGGGGAGTAAAGGTCTTGGGAAGCTTCGATTGCAAACAGATAAATTCATATAAAAGCAAATGGTTAATTTAGATGAAAGGCTGATGTCAATTTGATAGCTAATCCCAACTAGTTATGCTCGGTATTGATGTGAAACTCATTAATCATATTGTTTCGAATAATTGCTCATGTTGTCCAAGATACAGCTATATTGTGATTGTCATAGATTTATACATATCCCATGAAATACTTAATATATACATGTAGCACAGACATGCCTACAACCTCAGATTCATATCAGTGGTAGTCACAGAGAGTTTATCTCAGAAATTCTGCCATCCAGTCTCACAGTCATAACACTGTCGACCATCTAAAAACTCAAATTGCTTATCCTAGACATTGCCTTCATTTAAAAGGTAATTTATAAATCATGGGAGAGTGAAGGTCTTCCGAAGCTTCAAATGAAAACAGATCAATTTATTTAAAGGCACACGGATAATTAGTTGCAAGGCTGATATCAATTTGATAGCTGATTCCAACTAGTAATGCTCAACACCGATGTGAAACTCATTAATCATATTGTTTTGGATAATTGCTCATGTTGTCCAAAAAACAACTGTGTTGTGGTTGTTGCAGATTTCCACTAAACCCATTAAATAGTGAATAAATACATGTAGCACATGCATGCCTACAACTTCAGATAACATTTGCCCATCAAAGAGGCACGCTAATATACAACTGATAATAACCTTACTCGTAATACTATGTAGAGGTTCTATATCTGTAGAAGGATAAATTTGCAACTCAAGTTAAACTTAAAAAGTATAGATAGTGCTCACCAGTTCAGGTACATACTCCATTGGTCCTTTGACCTTCAAACTTACAATCTTAAACTTGACCTTGTTTTTTTGATCTAGAACTTTTTCATTGTTCTCTGGGTGCTCCACAAACTTGAAAACTAAAATATGATAATTGAGATGAGAAATTAAAAAGTACATCTAGATCACTGATACAGAAAACAATAAAAAGGAAAATAGGAACGAAAATGTGGAGGCAAATATACCAGTTGCTATAATATGTTCCCCAGGAGAAAGTATTGCTCCAGGAGGGCGCATGAAACAGCTTTTTGGGGAGGTAGTTTGAAACTAAAACCACAATAAAACATCAGTTAAACACTACATTAATAACAATTTTGAAAATAATAAGAAAGAACTCATTATTTCGTTAAGAAGATTTATGCAAACCTTAGAAGAAAAAAGATGAAATATAAAAAAGAATGGACCGAGATTGAGGAAATAGACCATGCTAAGTACTAAATTAGAATTGAAAGAGATGAGAGTGTTCGACAAACCTTAAATGCTACAGGTGACTTGCTTGTATTCTTAATCTTGATCGCACTCCTGACTTGCTTTCCAGGTTCATCTTCAGCATTAAATAAAAGAAGAAACATATGAAGAATAACATAACAGTGAGCAAGCAAGAGTGAAAGAAACATATCAAGAATGACATGACAGTGAGCAAGCAAGAGCGAAAGAAACATATCAAGAATGACATGACAGTGAGCGAGCAAGAACAAAATCACAATTTTTATCTTTTGTCTCATAGTTATACGTCCTCAAAATTCCACATTTATGATAAATTCAGCATAAACATAAGCCAAACAAGCACATCAGAAATTGTAAAACCTCTCAATTACTAAATATTGAACAAGAAAGGAAGTATCCTCAAACCTAATTCTAAGGTCTAGAGTAACAAAGTCATTTTAGAGTCAAACCCAAAAAAGCAGAAGCTGCAGTTTCAGTGTTTCTAGTCAGCAAACAACCAAAACATTTAGAGTCAAACCCAAAAAACACAAACTGTAGTTAGAGTGTATCAGCAAACAATCAAAACATATTCATCTAATGAAGTTTAACAACAATAAGGCTATATAATATAAATGGTAAGGAGCCGATAGTTTTCGAGAACCAAAAAATCAAGTTGCCCCTCGAGATGTAGCAAGGAAAGAAGCTTCTTTCCCCTTCTCTTTTTCCTCCCTAAAGATACAAATCAAACTATACAAAATAAGCGGAAAGGAAACCCTCAAATTTTCAGATCCAACAGATCAAACTCCCCCTCAAGCTGTAATAAGTAAAAAAGCCCCTTTTTTCCCTTTTATTTTTCCTTTGCCCTGAATATTCCACAAACAACGATCTATTAGAAAGAAAGTAGTCTAATCCCCACCACTATCACACTGAACTCTAATTCCGATCTAAAATCGAAACCTTTCTTTGACAGATCGCGAAGGGGATAAATCCTTATGACAAGCAAGACGGTCAAAAAACACCAAAAGCTGCCTTATAGACTTCGCATGCGATGAAAAAAAAAATCCAATCAAATAAGGAGTACAAACTCACAAGGGAAGTAGAGCTTGCTGGCGGGATCAAGACGAAGGCGGCGCCGAGTGAGCAGCAGCGACTTGGCCACCGACGAGACGGAGCCGGAGGCACCGGAGTACTGCGTGTCGGATCCCTCCGCCGATCGAGGTGCATGCCCGTGGATGACGTGGTGGTGACTCACCCCCGCAGCGGCAGATGACGAGGAGGAGCCGCTGCCGCCGGCCTGCCAGAAGGGCATCCGGCAGAGGTTCCAGACGTTGCCGCCACCGGACGCCTCGGGATTCTCGTTAGCTAACGCCATTCCTCGGCTCATCCGGCTAGGGTTTGGGTGCCCCTTTTCACCGCCAGAAACAGCGGAGAGCGGAGGAAGACGAGATGTTACAAAAGAGCCGCCGACTTGACCGTGTGAGAGAGATGGGATTCATGTCCGCAACATAAAATAAGTGGGAAATGGTTCATTGACGAGTGGTCGTGGCGACCATTAACAAAAACTTGGCTTTTTATTTTTCTTTGGTGCGCGTGTTCCCAAGTCAAGAGAGAGACCAACTCCCCGGTCGCCTTAAGGCGCCGTGTTATGCAAGCATCCTTGTCGACAATGTATGCGTTGTTGTCTTTCCTGATTCTTCTTCATGCAATCAAAACCCAGTCTCTCCAACAGTAAGAAGAAGGGAGAAAACTGCGTCAGATCATCTCTTGGATCCGAAATGTAGAAAGAAGCCATGCCATTTGATCCGTCTCG